CCACACCCAGGCTCCTAGCTGTCTCCAGCGAATACTGTTTCAGTTTCCAAACATCCCTCATTGGCTGATTTAGTTGCTACGCCTATTCATTGGCTGACCTTGCTACCCTGTCTCTGCCAAGTCATGAACTCTCATGCACTCACAGGTCACATTCATAAATGGGCTGATTTCCCATTATGGGTCTGAAATAGCTTTTGATCTGGGAGCACAAAATGCAAATCCATTATACAGATAATCCTCAATTTGCAACCGTTTCTTTAGTGACCATTCAAAAAGTTACAAGGACTGAAGAAAATGACTTATGACCGTTTTTCACACTTAACGACCATTGCAGCATCCCCATGGTCGTGACATAAAAATTCAGACGCTTGGCAACTGGTTCATATTTATGACCATTGCAGGGTTCTGGGATCACATGATCACCTTTTGCGATCTTCTGACAAGCGATCTCAATCGGTAAACCAGATTTACTTAACAACCGTGTTACTAACTTAACAAATTCAGGGATTTACTTAACAACCGTGGCAAAACACACTAGATACAATGGCACAAAACTCCCTTAACAACTGTCTTAGTTAGCAACTGTCTCAGCAACCGAAGTCAATTGTGGTTGTAAGTCGAGGACAACTAATGTAATTGTGATTGATGATGATTTGTGAATTCAATACATTGGAATTACAAATTTAATTGATGCGGGATGGTATTGTAGAAATGGTTATCATGGCGTCACCAACATAATTTGCGTGGGTTAAGTTAATTCTATATAAATTCCAGTAGTTTCTACACCAGAATACGCAGCCATAAAAGTGTAGTATAGAATTAGCAACCAATTTGATCCAATTAAACATTTCGAAATGTATCAGAGCAACAAGCAACGACACTAAGAAGTTCTAGTGTGTGCATGCTGAAACCGAGTGGGGTAACATCAGGGGTGGGTTTCAACCGGTTCGCGGCGGTCTCTGCGAACCGGTTGGTCGGCGAACCCGGAAGTAAGTAACTTC